CGGCGGCGGCGGCGGCAGTGGGCAGAAGCGGGGCTAGCGTGGGGCGCGAGGACCACCTGTCCTACCAGTCGCTGCTGGATGATGCGGCGCGTGGCGGGGGCTACTAACAGCACAAGGCTGGGCCCAGATGCCTGGCTCATGCAAAGCAGGGCAGGGCAGGGCTGTATCCAGTGGGGGTATGCTCAGGGACTGATCCCAACCGCACACAATCACAAATTGTTGAGAATGGGGCTTGCCGCATGCTTGCAACCAGTGCAATGCTGCGTGAGTTGTAGCAGCAGGGTTGGTCTGGAGATGTGGAGATGTGGGCAAAGCAGGAGTGAGTGAAGCAGCTGGTCAGAGGGCGCACACGACATATGGGCGGGTGTATGCTCAGGGGTCCCAAGTGCTGGTCACTTCCAGGGAGATGTGGCGCATTTCAGCACACCCGCATCCCATACGTCGACGCGCGCCACGCCACTGGGATGTGGCAGGAGGGTCTGCGCAATCACGCGCTGCTGTATCCTAGGTGCGTTGCAAAGCTACCTGGGAGGCTGGAAGCACCACATGAATACCTCTGATCGTGCCCCAATCTCTGCATGAATCCAGCTGGCGAGATGCGAGTGTCCTGAGCTTGCCGCCGAGTGCCGGTTGCACCAGCCCACCTGTCATCTGGGTATGACGAAGCCAGTTGCGTCCGTCAGGCACGGGGGGTGCACACATCCAGCATACTGCCATCTGCGCTATAGAATTCAGTACGCCAGCCAGTGCGCCAGAAGACGGGCTGCAATACGGGCGAGCAGCTGCGTCCAAGGCACCTGGACGGTCGCCACGCAACGCGTCATACACGTGGCTGCTGAGCACCCAGCAGTGCGCAGTGGTGTCACTTCACCCAGGTACAGATCGGATCGCTCACTTCTGAATCCAGATCGTATTTAGAACGCACTTCTAGAGCCTTTCCCATTGTCCACGCTCCTTTCCGCTGCACCCCTGTTCCCAAGTCCCCCCGCGGCTCGCGCCAGCTATCTCGGCCTACCAAACGCAGAGTGGAGTAGTTGATTCATCACAGACAACATGGTGCGCACGGGCGGGCTCTGCGATCTCGAGACCCAGCCAAATGGTCCTTTTCTTTGCGGTGCCCCTGCCATGCACGTCGGTTGAAAGCGCTAAGGGAAAAAATGCATTCTTTTGTCACGCTTCGCGCCTTCGCGCCTTGGGCGGGCGCGCTGTTTGCACACGCCGCCGCGCCCGAAAGTCGCGCAGCACGCTCCGGGAGCACAGCGCCTCGATTTTCAAGGTGCGCGGATTGGGTTGTCGTGCCGCTTCCATGTACAGAACCGTTCAAAGAAGGAGAAGGAGAAGGTGCAGCAGTTCAAGACAATCACGGGCGCTAGGTAGGGACGGCGGGGTGTTGAAATCAGCAAACCGCGTCTGCATGATGGCATCCCCGCGCACGCATGCAGTGTCCGCATGCATGCAATGCTGTGCAGCTGCGTCTGCACGTCGCCCCAACATTCTCAAACGCAAAATCGTCGGGGCCCGCGTGTCCCGGCCGTCCTTGCGCGCAGCGACAAGATCGCCTTGGACTGCCTGCGCGCGACCGGCTGGGGCATCGAGGCCGCGATAGAGTACTTTTACGCCAGCGGCCTGCAGGGCGCGGTGCCCAACGTGGACATGCGCGCGATAGAGGCGCTGTTCACGCGCTACAAGGGCGAGCCGGCGGGGCAGGGGCGCGCGCGGGTGGCGGCCGGCGGGGGTGGGCCGCCGCCCGCCCAGCAGCTGCCGCGGCAACAGCATGCGCATGGGTCAGCAATCAAACCGGCGGCTGCACACCCCCCTTGTGTGCCGCAACGGGCATGGTCGTGTGCTGTGACGCTGCACAACATGGCGCATGTGCTGCGTCTTCCAATGATCATCAGCATCCGCAACCCACCCATCCGTCCTGCTTACAGCAGTGGCTTGACAACACCAAAATGCGAACCCTCTCCTCCCTCCCCCAGACCCGTCCGACGGGGTGATCATGGCGGAGGGTGTGGGGCGGTTCTGTGACGACCTGGAGGTTGACCCCTCAGACATCGTCATGGTGCGGCACGGGGCGGCTTTGGGGCGACCCAGGGGGAAGGAAAAGAAAAGAAGGGGAAGGGGGGGCGCTTGCCATGGACGCCAGTGAGGGCGCCTGCATGCACATGCATGCACCATGCATGCTGGGTTGATGGCGCAGCATAGTCACAGAGTGCTCCCAAAAGGATGCATGGGGAAGGAGCGGGGCGGAGGTTGGAAGGCTTGAGCCATGTGCGGGTTGCTCGCGCGTTGGGGCACTCCCCCTCGTCTTGCGGCCCCTGTCTTTCCCGCGCCTGTTACTCACCCCGCCCCACCCTGGCCGCGACCCCTCCCCCCCAGCTGGTGCTGTCGTGGCGCCTCAACGCGGCGACCATGTGCGAGTACAGCCGCGAGGAGTTTGTGGGCGGCCTGCAGCAGCTCGGGTGCGACAGCCTGGAGAAGCTCAAGAGGCGGCTGCCCGACATCAGGGCTGATCTCAGGGACCCTGCCAAGTGGCGGGAGATCTACAACTACGCTTTCAACTGGGCCAAGGGGGTGCGCCCGGGGGCGGGAGGGGGGGGGGCGGCGAGAAGACGTGTGTATGAAATGTGAAGTTGAGTGTGTGGGTGAAAGTATGCTTGTGCGCACGCGCGCGCGTGTGTGTGTGTGTGTGTGTGTGTGTGTGTGCGCGCGAGAGTAAAGCATGGTGCGTGTGTGTACGGCATGCCTCAGTGAGATGGGGCCGGTTATCCCAGGGGCTGGCTGCATGGGCACAGTGGCAGGCAGGCGGCCGTCCCTGCATGAACCAGCGTCCGCTGGCAGCAGCCCGTCCTACCATCCCCACAAGACAGAGCGCCAACCCCGGCAACTCTTTCTCCCCTGCCCCCCCCCCCCACTTCCCGTCCCTGGAGCGCAGAAGAACCAGAAGTGCCTGCAGCTGGACGTGGCGGTGGGCATGTGGCAGCTGCTGTTTGCGGAGGACCGCGCGTGGCAGCACGTTGACGCGTGGTGCGGCTTCCTGCAGAAGCAGCACAACCGCGCCATCAGCCGCGACACGTGGGTGCAGCTGTTTGAGTTCGCCCGGGCCGTCAAGCCGGACTTCTCAAACTTTGACGAGTCCGCGGCCTGGCCCTACCTGTGAGCGCGCGCCTGGTTTTGTGTGGGCGTGGGTGTATTTGGGGAGCGGCGAGAGGGGGGGCCTGCCGCGGGGGCGTTGAGTGTCGGGGGGGTGGTCGGGATGGCAACGATGCAGGAGTGCGGGATGGCGGCGTGCGTAGGTACCGGGGTTTACGCGTGACTCATATGGGCCTGTGGGGTTGTTTGTGCAAGTGTGAACGGGGCGGGCCGCGCGGCGTAGGTTTGGCGGCCGTTGCACTGAGTAGGGGTAGGCCGCGCCTCCTGAGGGCCCACCTAAGTGATGTCCGACTGGGCGTCGGTGTCACTCAGGCTTGCCTTGGAGTCCTGCGCACGCTGCCACATCTTGCAGCCCTGACCCCTTTGACACCTCACGCCACCAACGCCACCAACGCCACCAACGCCACCAACGCCACCAACGCCACCCCGCTGCCGCGATGCAATCATTGACTTGGGGCGCACCCACCAGGCGCCTGCGCCGCCATCCACAAGGCCTGATTACCCAACACCCCCCCCCCCCCGGTGTGTTCCTCCAAAGGATTGACGAGTTCGTGGACCACATGCGGCAGCACCAGGCTATAGCGGAGGACTGACACCCCCGCCCGCACGCAGCCTAGCGCCCAGGCCCTAGCGCCCAGGCCCTAGCGCCCTGGCCCAACAGAGAAGGGGCGGGCTCTGTGGGGCGGGGAGGCGCCCAGCTGCGAAGCGGCTGCGCAGCGTCTCCGCCATTGTACATACTGCGTGATGCACGGTTACTGCCTTGCCGCCATGACCGCACTCGCTTAGCCAGGCTTTCCTGTTCGCCCCCCCCCCCTTGCCTTCTGGAGGCCCCTGGCCGCTGCCAGAGCCGCTGCCCAGGCCTCTTTCTCCTCTCTTCCTGCGGCCGACCTCTAGGCACTTGGCCGCGTCCCCCCTCCCCGCGCCAGCCTAGAACAGGGGGAGCACACCGCCCGTCAATGGCCCTGCCCGTCAATGGCCCTGCACAGCTGCCGCAACACATGAGAGCGGGCGTGACTTGCTAGGGCCCGGCCCTTCGGACCCGGCAGCTGCGTTGCGCCGGCCGTGACGCCCCCGCACTCGTGCCGTGCTGCTGGCGGCTGCTCTGCCTCACCCGGGCGCCCGCATGCCAGTGACCTTGTAACACCTCTGTGAAAACTTGGTTCTGTTCAGCGCACACCCAAATCCTGCCACCGGGCTGCTGCTGTGTGGGCGCCAGGCGCTCTGAGCGATGCTGCTCGGCTCCCAGCCCGCCCCTGCCAGCCGCCAGCAGCTTGATTGCTGAGGTGGCAGTGGTTGTTTACGACCGCTTGGGCCAGGCAAGGGGGGTGCCCCAGGCAGGTGCTGCGCGGCAGGTGCTGTGGCATGCTCTGAGCCCCCTGTTTGACTGCACCTGGCTGCCCAGGACCAATCATGACGACATGGTCCCCTGCTTGCGTATCCTTGCATGTTGATAAGAGCACCCTAGGGAGAGGGGTGCACTTGCGCTGTCAGCCATACCGAGGCAAGCAGGTTACTCAACGCGCCGCTTCTTGAACCGCTCCAGCGCCCCAATGCCTTCCTGCCCCTCCCCA